CTTTAACCATTAAAAAAATTTATAAAGAAAAATAATTTACATTTAACAATATCAAATATACTCATATTTAATGCTTCAAAATTTAGGGTACAAAGGTCTAGTCCACTGCTAGGTCCATGTGAGAACAGTGAGATCATGATATTTACTAGGGGTAGTACTTTTAAATATAGGTGAAATAAGAGTTATATTTAATATTTAATTTAAAAATTTTTTGATATAATTTTTTCAATTTAGTATTTATTTAAATACTCAAAAATATATATTTAGTACTTAATGTGATAAGTATTGGATAATTTATAAGTATCTATTTATTTATTTAGCTCAAAGAAAGAAAATATATAGTATGAGATGTTACTATTAGGTGTGTTATATATTTGATTTAAAACTTATTATTTAAAAAAATTATTATTGCTATGTATAGCATTTGTTTGACTTATAGATTGTATTTAACTTTTATTTTTAATTTTTTGTATTTTATTATTTTTATTATATGAATATTAAGTAGAATAACTACATGTAAAATTTTAATTATATAAGTATAGATAAAATGTCAATTAAATAAATCAGTTAAATAGATTAGATAAACAATTTTAAATCTTTATATTTATTATTAGATTTGATACTTAAAAGTATATTATTTTCATACTCATTACTTGTTTTTTCTTTTTACAATTCAGGTATGATACTTACTGAAATAAGTAAAATATTTATAATTAATAGATGTCATGTACTCGTATAGTCGTATACCATACTTATCTTTATTTTTAAGCCAGATATATCTGGGCTTTAAGATTTTCTTTATTATATTGGGCCTAGCTCTAGCACCATATTTTTCGGCCCTGCTAAAAAACATTTCCTCGCCGTTCTGCTTTGCGGGGATTGGACCGCTTTCGCGACTTTTTCTGTTGAAATAACAGCTCCATAGTGGGCCTGTTAATTAGGCCTTCACTCTTTATTTATTTATTTATTTTTTTAAGATGTATATATATAAATTAATATTTAACCGTTTTATACTTTTATCTTTTAAAAATCAAAGAAAAATTATTTTAAAATTATATCGTTTTAATAAAATATTATAAGACACTCTAATTCAAGATTTAAAAATAAGGTATTTTAGTTTTTTTTTAATAAAAATTTATTAAAATAATATAGTTTTTAAATAATTTTTTTCTTAA